GGGGTTATACTGTGGGGGAGGGACATATAAAGCAACAAAGAAATAATCTTATAAATGCATTAGAAACAATCGCATTAAAGTAAAAAAAAAACATTTGAATAACTATCTTAGGGTTCATTTTCCTATCGGTTAGCAGTCTTGATGCAGCTCCACATCCCTTTGTATCCTGGAGACCACAGGTTTGTGTACTCAAGGTTAGAGCATTCTCTGCTGAAATGATCTAATACACCTCTGTATACTTTTTGTCATGAGTAATGTCTCAACGTGATTTACACTTTTATTTAAACTAATCACATATTATTTGAAGATATGCATTAGAAAAGATTTGCCAAGATGTAATCTGTAACATGACAATTTGTGATATGAATATAAAAGGCCTGTTGACATTAATTTTAATGCCTTGGCTTGTCATTCCCATTCCAAGCAATTTCCTCAATTTGTTCCTTCTCTCTCTGTCTTCTCTCTCATTGTTCTTGCACTCATCTTGCTTACGGGTGTTCTTTTTATTTTTTTTATTTTTTTGCCTATTTTTTTTACTTTCAAGATGATACAGAATGCAAGAGTAGAATGAAGAGCAGACTCTGGCAGGAACTTAGGCTGAGTTTACTTGGAATTTACAGCTGAGGTAGCAATGGCTGACACAATGGCTAAGCCACTGTATGCTTTTTTTTAAAAGGTTGTTCTTAATGTTCAGAGTCCTAGACAAAAATCCATTCTACATATAGGTGGCAGAAATGTTATAACAGGAAATCCAGATGTTGAATGGGAATGGAATCAAGGGTCACCATCATCTCAGGGACAAGGAACAGCTTACTTTGGGCCAGATTTCTTAATTCCACCTGTGTTGAGGGGTCCTTTCCCCACTGCCTTCACTTTCAGTTCCTAGAGTTTCTTCTGCTCCTCTTTCTGTTTCTGCTTAATAGCCTTGTCTTCCTCATCCATCTCTTTGGCCTGCTTCTTGGGTTGCTTCAGGGGCTTCTTCTTGCCACCTTTGAGGCTGGACATGAGGCCAGCCATGCCTTCACCTAGACCCTAGAATTTTCTTTTTAATTTTTATTATTTTGTCAGCCATGGGGCTTGTACTCAGGGTCTGGGCTCTCTCCCTGAGCAATTAGCTTAAGCCTAGTGCTCAAACATTTGAGACAAAGTGCCAGTTCAGTGTTCCTGGTAGTTATTAGAAATTAGGTATCCCCTTGACATTGCAGCCTGGAAGCCTAGTGCACCAATATTGGTTTGAAACTTGGATCCACAGGTCTCAGTCTTCTAAGTTACTAGGATTACAGGGATGAGTGCCTAGCTTAGGAGATTCTTTTCCAAATGAAAACTTTTAACCAGGAACTCTATTTCATGGGCAAATTCATCTATGTACATGAGTAGGAGCCACTTAATATATGCTTCTCCGCATCCTTGAGAACTGTTTAGGAACAGAAACTTTGAGAGTCCTAGTTGTCCATTAGTCACTGAAAGAGCCTGGAGCATTCAAACACCACAGTGCTGTGGGATGTCCAATTGAAAGCCTTGAAATGAGGGCCTCCTCAGTGGCACTGTGGCTCAAGCAGTAGAGCACTGGCCTTGAGTTGAAGAGCTGATAGCTCCCACGCCCAGACTTCAAGCCCCACAACTGACCAAAAAGAAATCTTGGGGATTTTTTGTTTTTGCTTTTGTTATTGTTTTTTTGATGCCATAGGGTTTGAACTATAGCCTGGGTATTGTGTTAGTTTTTGGACAAGGCTGCTCATTGAAAACTTTGAGGCACAACACAATTTCTGGTTTTCAGTAGCTAATTGAAGATAACAGTATCACAACCCTTTCGGCCTTGGTGACTTGGGACCACATTCCTCAGACATGAAACATTGATCTTCAGACCTCAGTTCCTGAGTAGCTAGGATAACAGATGAGATTCAACAGTGCCTGGCTAGCTAGCATGTTTTTACTTATTTGCTTGTTTTCATATTTTTAGTTCCTCAATAGAATCAATTATTTCCTATATGGAAGAGATGACTCAAGCCAATATGGAAATGGGGATTGCCTTCCTCACTCAGACTGCAGCTGGGGTCCTAGGGAACTCCTGTCTCCTTTGTTTTTACACCTATACCCTCTTAACTAGAAAGACAGTGAGGCCCACAGACCCCATCTTCAGCCATCTGGCCATTGCCAAAAGCTTGGTTGTTTTATCCACTTGGATCCCACACACAATGGTAGGTTTAGGATGGAAATACTTTCTAGATGATGCCACATGTAAAGTTGTTTTGTATTTCCACAGAGTAGCCAGAGGAGTTTCTCTTAATGCCACCTGTCTTCGGAGTGGCTTCCAGGTCTCAAAGCTTTGCACTAGAAAGTCTTGTTGGAAGATCACTACTGGATTCCCCAAGTGCTTTGGATTCTGTGGTTGCCTTTTCTGGATCCTGTAGCTCCTAGTCAATGTTTCTGTGCCTCTGAGAGTGATTGGGCCAAGACATAGATAAAATGTCATGTGCACATACATTATAGATACTGCTACACAGGCGCCACCCCACCAAAACCATATGTACATTTATTACAGATGGTCTTATTCTCTTCCATTGATATTATGTACTTGGTTTTCATGATGTGGGCCTGTGGCTCCATTGTTCTTGTCCTGCACATACACAAGCAGATGTGCAAGCACAGACACAGTCTTATTTCTTCCTGAAGACCTGACCATGAGGCCAGGGCCACAAACACCATCCTGACCATGCTCAACATATTTGTCTCTTTCTACTGCCTCTCTGTCATTTTCACTCTTTATGTTGGTCTCCTTAGGAAGACAGATCTGTGGCTGGTGGACACACTGTATTCCTGAGTACATGTTTCTCAGTACTAAGCCCCTTTGTGCTCATCAGCAGAGACACCCGGGCTACTCAGGTATTTTATTCCTGCACAAAAAAGACATTTTCTTAATTTGGTTTCCTAGTTTGTTTTTATAGCACGGACTCAGATTTAGACTTTAAACTCTACACTCACTAGGGGAGGTGGTCTACGACTACCTGTGAGCTCTAGTTCATTTTCACTCTGGTTATTTTTTATGTACATCAGCCTGAACCACAATATTCCCATTATGTGTTTCCTGAAGTGTCTGGGATGACAGATGTGAACCAAGATTTGAGATATCTTTGATGAGACAGAGTCTTAGGAATTTTTTTGCTCAAACTTCCCTGTAACTTCACACATCCCAATCTCTGCCTCCCACATCAATGGGATGACAGGTTAACATAAGCATACCTGGCTAGAACTTGAGATGGAGTCTTACGAACTGCTTCTCTAGCTGACCTTGAAACAGAATCCTCCTGGTTCAGCCTTACAGGTGTGAGCCACTGCATCCATCTTACATCAATCGTTCATTTAAATTATTATTATTATTTGTTGTTTTTGTTGCTGTTGGGGAGCTTGAACTCATGGCCTGGAAGATATCTATGTACTCTTTTGCTAGCACTGTACTCATTTCAGCCACAGCTTCACTTCAAGTTTTCTAGAGTTTCCAGCCTGGGCTGGCATCAAAACTCCATTCAAATATCTCAGCCTCCTTAGCAGCTAGGATTTCTGGAGTGAGCCACCAGAAAACCACATAAATGTTTATTTTTAAAATTATTTAATGAGTGACTGGGAATGTGGCATAGTGGTAGAGTGCTTGCCTAGCATGGATGAAGCCCTGGGTTCAATTCCTCAGTACCACATAAACAGAGAAAGAATGGAAATGGGGCTGTGGCTCAAGTGGTAGGGTGGTAGCTTTGAGCACAGAGGCACTCTGGAATAGTACCATATACTGAGTTCAAGCCCTAGAAACCACATATTATTTTTTATTTTATTTGTGAACATACTGTACAGAGGGGTTACAATTACATGGGCAGGATAATGCATACATTTCTTACCAAGCATTGCAGCCTCCTCCTTTGTTTACCCTTCACATCCCTTCTCAGCCTTCCCTCTCCCCCGCACCCAATCCCCCCCCACCGACATTGTAAAGCTCGTTTTCGACATGACAACTTGTACTTCTCATTGTTGCAACAGGTCCAACTCTATCCTTAAACGACTTGTTTTTCTCCATCTCCTCCACAAGTTATACTGACATCAAATATAGTGAAAGCAGGGGTTATACTGTGGGGGAGGGACATACAAAGCTACAAAGAAATAATCTTATAAATGGGTTAGAAACACATGCATGAAAGAAAAAATCATTAAAATACATATCTAAGGGTTCATTTTCCTAACATCACATTATCTGACCTTTTCCGCTTGACTCATACATATACTAGATATTGCAAATAAGGGAAACCATGGGACCTATGTTTCTTTGGGCCTGGCTTACTTCACTTAATATAATTTTTCCAAGTCTTTCCATTTCCTAACAAATGGGGCAATGTCATTCTTTCTGATGGAGGCATAGAATTCCATTGTGTATATATACCACATTTTCTTGATCCATTCATTTACTGAGGGGCATCTGGGTTGGTTCCATATCTTAGCTATGGTAAATAATGCTGCAATAAACACAGTTGTGCTGGTAGCTTTAGTGTGGTCTTGTTTGTAAACATTTGGGTAAATGCCCAAAAGTGGGATTGCTGGGTCATAGGGGAGCTCTATGTGAAGTCTTTTGAGGAACCTCTATACTGCTTTCCAAAGTGGAAACCACAAATTATTAAATGAGTATGGAACAACAGATATTTTTAAAGAATTTGTGTGAAATTGACAAAAAGAATATCATGCATTACTTCAGCAGTGAAGTTCCTGCCTTCTTAAGACACTGAATTCGTTGCCTGAACCTCAATTTAAATAAAGTTAATGAAAATTTCAATGTAACTATTGTGTCCTAATGCTCTTTTACTGTTAGTTCATGAAGCACATAATGAGTAAGGAAAGATACAATTGCTGTCTAATTCACAATAACAGAGATACCAGAAGATGAATCATTTCTCCCTTACACTCAAATTTTTCTTCATTACCTAATGTATTTTGCTAAGTAAATGAATGGAAAAATTAAGCTTGGAAATAAAGTTCAATATTTAGCACAAAAAGAAGGTGTTATTACTTATTGGTGTTTCAGACGGGTCCCTGAAATATTAACTTCAAACATATTTAGATCCAACATCTTGAGGTAAAAAAGAGTAGTCTAGAAAGATCTATCATGTGGAACATGGGATTTCAGAGATCTGAAGATATCCACCAGGTTTGACCTGGATCAGGAGACCTGTTGGCAGGTGAAGCAGTAAACCTATGTAACTGCTGGTTCCTGAATATAATGTTGGCCCAGCCCAGAATTCCATCTTTGTCCTAAAAGTATGATCGACTCAGTGTGAGACCAAACCTTATGCATAATATCAGCAGGTCTGCCTAAAGATGATTTAGTTGATGTCCAAAAAAAGTTTCCGAAGTCTTAATTTTATTCGTACAATAGACATCATTTCATTGTGGTGATTCAAGTGTGGCAAATAATTGTGTGTACGTGTGTGTGTGTGTGTGTGTGTGTGTGTGTGTGTGTGATTTTCTGTATTGGGTGGCTTTATACTAGAGATATAATCTCCTTCTTCTAGATATTCATATTTACTGTTCTTTTTTCCTTTTTTTCTTTTAATCATCATTAGGCTTGAACTCAGGGCATAGGCTCTGTCCCTGAGTCTCTCTGTGCTCAAGGCTAGCACTCTACAATTTGAGCCACAGCACCACTTTCAGCTTTTTCTGTGTACGTGGTACTGAGGAATCAAATCCAGGCCTTCATGCACTCTAGAAACTCTAACACTAATAAATATTACCAGCCCCTACTGCTATTTCTGCATTCAATTTGTGTTTTGTTTTCTTTTTTGCTGCTTCTGTTTGAACCCAGGACCTGGATGATGTCCCTGAGTTTCTTAGGTGCAAGCCTAGTGCTCTACCACTTGAGCCACAGCACTACTTCAAGCCTTTTCTCAAGACTTTATTGAAGATTAAAATCTCACAGACTTTCCTTTCATTGGTGGCTCTGAACTGAGATTCTTAAATCTCAGTCTCCTGAGTAGCTGGGATTATAGACAGGAGCCACCAGCACCAGCACCCACCTTGTAGGCTGTTTTGGAGATGGAGTCTCATGGGGTTCTGTGCCTCTTCTGGTTTCATACTTTGATCCTCCTAAACTCAGCTTCCAGAAGATCTAGGATTATAAGCACGGGCCATCTATGCCTGGCTCTATTTGTCATTTCTAAAGTCAAGAATAACAACTCCCGTTTCTGATTTTGTAATTTCAGTACTCTGCTGCAATCATTTGCGAATCTAAGTAAGCTTTAGTCCCTTTTTTGGATCTTTTCAGTCCTCCAACACTTGTTTTGATGATTTTCTTTTCTATTACTCTTTCTTCATCTTGCATTTATATTCATGCTCTTTTTCTTATCTTCATACTATGTTTACCTTACTAGTATTTTCCTTGCTCTGTAAGAAGTAAGGAAGGGTGCAGGTGGGGATTGGGTCTTTCCTTTTGTAACATATGTATGCAAGTTATTTCCCTCAGAATTATGGGAAATGGCTGTGCTGTGTTCAGAGGGAGAGGTCCTCAGGATTTCTATATTCTCTGTAACTAAGAAAGTCAAAATGGTTACAATAAGTGTGCATGTGAAAACGTTATGAACATACTGCAGAAACATTAAACACCTGTGGTGTAACATGTCTGTCAGCCTTGATTATTTAAACATTGATAACCGGCACATATCATATCATCTTGGGATGTAGTATTTATCCAGTCCTACAGCTTGAACTGAGACCCTGGGTACTGTCCTTGACCCCTTTCCTCCAGACCAACCCTGTATCCCTGGAGCCATAGTACCACTTATGGCCTTCTTTGAGTAGTTTGTAATGACCCGCGAGGAGGAAAATCCATGGAGGCACTATCAAAGTGACACAGAAGTTTATTAGTTGGTCTACAACCCTATCTTGTCTTACCTCAGGAACAGGTGCAGCTTCTACCCTCCAAGGAGGAAAGTTGACTTTCCATTTTCCTCCTTCGCACAGGCCTTTCAGACCTCCACATGCCTCTCTTCTTGGGCCTCTCTGTTGGCCTGTACTCTCCTAAGGCCCCTGGGACTACTCAGGCTGGGCTGGAATCTCCTCAGGTTTGAGGCTCTGGGAAGCAACTGTCTCCTGCACATCTCTTGGGCATCTCCTTCCTCTCTCTGTCCTCCAACCCCTATATCAGGTGGCCTTCCCCCTAGGCCATCCTCTGATCCTCCCCCTCCATGGTCTGGAAGCATGGTGGTGATGTCAGCATGGATGGGACTTCTGCTCCCCAGGTTCTCACAGTTCACTGGGGAAGCCAGCTTCACAGACTTTTCTGCCCAAGCTGGCTTCAAACTGCAGACTCAGATCTTAGCTTCCTGAGGTGCTGGGATCACCGGCCTGAGAAACAGACACCCCATTTTTATTTTTAACGTAGTATTTTATTAAAGAGAGAAATAGCATGCAGGATATGAAAGAAAAAAGTCCCTAAAAATTCAATAAATAAATGTTCTGGGGATCATACTCTTACACAATATATTTCCTGTTCCTCTACTCATTTCTGATGAAATAGTGTTCAAGAGTTTCCACATATTCCCTGGAGTTTCTTTGCCATGGGTGACATCTGTTGGAAATGGTAGTGTAAGTTCAGTGGTGCTCATCAGTATCCACAATTCTCCAGTGTTTGTCACAGGGAAGCTCTGTTCCCCATGTACAATTGTCACCACACTTCCAGGTGACACAATGAGCACACCCACAGAGGAGATGAGATCACACAGTCCTGAGCCTTTATCTTGGGGATCCATGGCTGAGCACACGTGCTGTGACCACTGCCTCTACTCCTCTGTCCTGACATCCAATTCCTACTGGGTAAGCAGCTATTCTTCTCAGGCAAGTGAAAGTAGTAAATGGAACTCATCAAGAAAATGCAGAAGGAACCTCTCTGTAAAATGTGTGTGTTGTGTGGGATTGAATTAGGAACATGTCTTGAATTTTAGGGAAAATTTTTGGTGAGAATAACAGGCCTCTCTCCTGACTTGGTTAGCAGTCTTGGTGCAGTTCCACATCCCTTCATAGCCTGGAGACCACACAGCTTTGTGTGGTCAGTGGTAGAGCATTCTCTACTAAAATGATCTTATACACCTCCATATATACATTTTATTTTTTCTCAGTCCTGGGGCTTGAACTCAGGGCCTACCCACTGTTTCTTAGTTTCTCTTTTGCCCAGTTAAGTGCTCTACCACTTGAGCCATAGTGCCACTTCTGGCTTTTCTCAGTAGCATAGGGGAGATAAGAGTCTCAGAGACATTTCCTGGCCAGGCTGGCTTCTAACTGTGATTCTCTGCTCTCAGCTTCCAAGTGGTTTGGATTAGAGGCACCTGCCACCAGCACCTGTCTTCTTTGGATGTCTTGATTATTTGAAATTGCCAGAGTAAATTCAGTTTATACTTGTTTGCTGGTACACTAGTCAGATGTTTCTTTTACAAAGTGAACTTTGTGTACTACTTCTGTTTCCATCTCATTTTACAACATGTCTCTGCTGTTATTTAATTCTGGTGTGAATGTATTAAGACATTGTGCTGGGCTGGGAAGGTGGCTCAGTGGTAGAGTGCTTGTCTTGCATGCATGAGGCCCTGGGTTCGAGTCCTTAGCACCACATAAGCAGAAAAAGCTGGAGGTGGCGCTATGGTTCAAGTGGTAGAGCACTAGCCTTCAGCTGAAGGGCTGAGGGACGGTGTCCAGGTGCAGAGTTCAGGCTCCCTACATAGGACAAAAAAAGACGTTGCACTTTTCATAACCAAGTGTTGGCTTATAAAATTTTAACTGTTTTCATCCAAGATAATCTCCTTTATTATAAGCAGTGTTGCTTGTTGTGCTCAGGACTGTAAGCCTACCTATTCAAGAGGCTGAATTCTGAGGATCCAGGTTCAAAGCCACCCTCTTATCTCCAATCCACTACCAAAAACCAGAAGTGGAGATGTGGCTCAACGTGGAAGAGCACTAGACTTGAGCAAAATGAGCTCAGGAATAGCACCAAGGCCCCACTAGTGACAAAAAGAGAGAAAGAAAAAAGAAATGATGTTTCTTATAAGAAAAATGTTGGTTGAGGGCTGGGAAGGTGGTCAGACATAAACTGCTTACCACACATGCATGAAGCTGTGTATTTGATTTCTCAGCACCACGTAAGCAGAAGAAGCTGGAAATGGCACTGTGGCTCAAGTGGTAGAGCCTTTGCCTTGAGCTGAAGAGCTGGGGGGCAGCACCCAGGAAGGGAGTTCAATCCTCACGATCAGAAAAAAAATACTGGTGAAGTTTCAATATTCTGACAAATAATTATGTGTATCACTACTCATGCTATTAATTAATAATATTTCATGAATTCTTTTTTATCCGTTGGTTCTTGGGCTTAGCCTCACAGCCTTGGTGCTGTGCCTGAGCCTGTTTGTGCTCAAGGCTAGTGCTCTACCTCCAGAGCCACAGCCTCAATCCTGGTGTATGAGTGGTTAATTGGAGATGAGAGTCTCATGGGGACTTTTCTGCCTGAACTGACTTCAAACTGCGATCTTCAAGTAGCTGGCTTGGCTAACATCTTCATCCTTGTTTTGTTTTCGTGCTCTTTTGTGTGTTACAATAAAATCCAGGATTTCCTTGATATGGAAGAGATGGCCAAAACCAACATTTAAATGGTGGTTGCCTTCCTCACTCACATTGCAGCTGGGGTCCTGGGGAACTCCGGTCTTCTTTGTTTTTACAGCTACACCTTCCTCACTGGACAGAAGATGAGGCCCACAGACCCCATCTTCAGCCATCTGGTCATTGTCAACAACTTGGTAGTTTTATCCTCTGGGATCCCTCTGACAATGGCAGGATTTAGATGGAAGTACTTTCTAGATGATGCTGGATGTAAAGTTCTTTTGTATTTATTCAGAGTAGCCAGAGGGGTTTCGCTTAATGCCACCTGTCTTCTGAGTGGCTTCCAGGTCTCAAAGGTTTGCACTGGAAATGCTTGGTGGAAGATTACTACTAGATTCCCCAAGTGCTTTCGTGTCTATGGTTGTCTTTTTTGGATCCTGCAGCTCCTAGTAAATGTTTATGTGCCTCTGACAGTGATTGGCCCAGCACACAAACAAAATGTCACTCTGCACATGTATTATAGATAATGCTCCCCAGGCCTGCGAAAACCCTTTGCAACATTATTACATGTTGTGTTATTCTTTTCCAGTGATGTTATGTGCTTGGTTTTCATGATGTGGGCCAATGGCTCCATGGTCTTTGTTCTGCACAGACACAAGCAGCGGGTCCAGCACATTCACAGCTGCATTCCCTCCTGAAGACCTGACCATGAGGCCAGGGCCACACACACCATCCTGACCCTGGTGAGCATGTTCATCTCCTTCTCCGGCCTCTCTGCCATTTTTACTCTTTGTGTTGGTCTAAATTCAAAACCAGACCTGTGGCTGGTGGACAGGTCTGTCTTCCTCAGTGTGTGTTTCTCAGTCCTGAGCGCCTTTGTGCTCATCAGCAGAGACACTCGTATCACTCAGGTTTTTCATTTCTGCACTGAATAAAAGATTTTCACAATTCGGGTAAACCGAGCAATTGCATTTAATTTCCTTTTGGTTCATTGTTTTGTTTTTGCAGCAATGGCATTTACACGCTGTATTGGCAGGGGCTGTACTACTAGAGACCTGCTCTAGTCCTTTTTCACTCTGATTATTTTGGAGCTATGCCTTGCTTTGTACCCAGGTCAACCTGCACCCTCATACTCTTATTGTGTTTCCTGAAGTACCAGGGATGACAGATAAGAATGTAGATGCTGAGATTTTATGTTAGATAGATTCTTGTGGAATTGTTTTTGCCCAGGCTAATCTATCACTGCAACCATCCCAATCTCATCCTCACACATGGCTGGGATGATGGGTTTACCCCATCACACCCAGATAGTATTGGAGGGGGGATCTTGTGAACTCTTTTCCAGTGGTGGCCTTTGACGTGAATCCTCCTGATTCAACCTTGCATGCATGAGCCACTGTATCCACTTTGGATCACTCTTTGGGTAATGTTAGGATTATTATTAGTTGTTGATGAGGTTGTTGTTCTTGTTCTTGTTGTGGTGGTGGGGCTGAAACTCAGGACCTGGACAATTCTCTGGAGCTCTTGTGCTCATGGCTGGCACTCTACCATTTTGGCCCACAGCTCTACTTCAGATTTTTTTCTAAGTAGTTTATTTGAGAGAGGAGTGTCATGGACTTTCCTGCCAGGCTAGCTTTGAATTGCAATCCTTAGGTCTCAGCCTCCTGAGTAGCTGTGATTACAGTCATGAGCCACCAGAGTTTGTCATAAATATTTATCTTTAAAATTATTAAATGAAAAAATTATTAAATGAGTGTATAATAGAAAGTGTTATGTAACAATCTGTGTTAAACTGACTGAAAGCAGACTTTGGGAGTATCTCAGCAGTGAAGTTCCTGCCTATGCAATTCCCCAAACTTGTTGTTTAAACTTCAAATAAAACAAACTTATAGAAAAGTTCAATGTAGTTAATGAAGCCTACTGATCTTTTATTGTTAGTTCACTAAACAAATATTGCATAAGGTACAATTGCTAATGTAGCATAACTGAGATACCAGAAGATGAATGTTTTCACCCCGTTGTGCAGAATAACACTTGATTTTTCTTCATTACCCCATGAATTGTGCTAAGTGTAATGAGTGGAAGTATTAAACTTGGAAATAAAGCTCAATACTTAGCACAAAAATGAAGTGTTATTCCTTATTGTTTTGTCACATAGATAACCTGAACACATATTACCTTGAAACATATTTAGATATAGGTAAGAAGAGTATTCTAGCAAGTTCTCTCCTGTGGATCAGGAGGATTTCAGAGATCTGAAGACATCCACCATGTTTGACTTGCACCAGGAGACATGGTGTCAGGTCAAGCAGTAAACCTGTGTCACTGCTCATTCCTATATGTAACCCGCATCAGTCCAGAATTCCATCGTGTCCTAAAATTATGAGAGAATCAGTGTAAGACCTAGCCTTATGCTCATCAGCCAGTCATCTTGTACTTCTCATTGTTGCAATAGGCCCACCTGTATCTCTACTTAATTTGTTTTTTCCCTTCCCCTCCCCAAATTATACCAACATTAAATAGAGTGAAAACAGGGTTGTACCATGGGAGAGGGACATACAAAGCAACACAGAAATCATCTTATAAATATGTTAGAAACAGGAAGGGAAAAAACAAATCGTTTAAATAGGAATACAGTTGGACCCATTGCAACATTGAGATGTACAACTTTACACATTGGTAGGGAAGGAGCCGATATTGGGGGTGGGTGGAGGGAGATGGGAAGGGTTAGGAAGGGGAAAACAAGGAGGAGACAATAATGCTTGATAAGAAATGTACTCATTATCTTGCCCATGTAATTGAAACTCCTCTATACGGTATTTTCACAATAAATAAAATATGTTAGAAACAATAGCAAGAAAGAAAAACCATTTGAGTCCTTATCTTGGGATTCATTTTGCCTAACATCAACTTATCTGACCATTTCTGCTTGTCTCAGACATATACTAGTTATTGCAAATAAAGGAAACCATGGGACCTATGTTTCTTTGGGCCTGGCATACATCACTTAACATAATTTTTCCAAGTCTTTCTATTTCCTAACAAATGGGGCAATGTCATTCTTTCTGATGGAGGCATAGAATTCCATTGTGTATATATACCACATTTTCTTGACCCTGTCATCTAATGAGGGGCATCTGGGTTAGTTCCATACCTTAGCTATGGTAAATAATGCTGCAATAAACATAGCTATGCTGGTAACTTAAGTATGGTCTTCTTTGTGATCATTTGGGTAAATGCCCAAAAGTGGGATTGCTGGGTCATAGGGGAGCTCTATGTGGAGTCTTTTGAGGAACCTCCATACTGCTTTAAAAAGTGGTTGAACAAGTTTAGACTCCCATCAACAATGCAGTAAGGTTTCCTTCTGTCCACATCGTCTCCAACATCTGTTGATATTACAGTTCTTGATTCTAGTCATTCTAACTGGGGTGAGGTGGTATTTCAATGTTGTTTTGATTTGCATTTCTTTTATGGCTAGAGAGGTTGAGCATTTCTTCATGTGCCTATTGACCATCCTTCTTTCCTCTTCAGAGAAGTTTCTCTTTAAGTCTTTAGCCCACTTATTTATTGGGCAGTTGTTTCTTTGAGGATTTGTTGTTGAGAGATGTAATATTTTGAGTTCCAGGTATATTTTAGATATGAGACCCTTGTCCATTGTCTGACTATTGAAGATCTTCTCCAAATCTGTGGCTTTCTATTGATCTAGCTCGCTGTGTCCTTTGCTGTGCTGAAGCTCTGCAATTTTATGCAATCCCATTTGTCCAACCTTTCTTAGATTTCTTCTGTTTCTGGGTCTCTATTAAGAAAATTTTGGCCTGTGCCAAGGAGACCTAGGGTTTCTCCTATTCCATCCTGTAATGTTTTCACAGTGTCTGCTTTAACTCCAAGGTCTTTGATCCATTTGGACTTGATTTTGGTTCAGGGTGATATATAAGGATCTAGTTTTAGTTTTCTACAAGTGATTAACCAATTTTACCAACATTTACTGAACAGGCTGTCTTTCTTCAATTCTATGTTTTTAGCTCCCTTATCAAAGGTTAGATGGCTATAGGTCTGTGGGTTCATTTCTGGGTTTTCAATTCTATTCCATTGGTCCTGAGGTATGTTCTTGTGCCAGTACCAAGCTGTTTCGATCACTATGGCTTTGTAGTAGAGTTTCAAATTTGGTGTTGATATTCCTCCAGCACCGTTCTTTCTGTTAAGGATCATTTTTGTTATTCATGGACTTTTATTGTTGCATATGAAAATTTGGGCTGCCTTTCTATTTCTTTGAAGAATGAGGTTGGAATATTAATAGGTATAACACTGAATTTGTAGATAGCCATGGGAAGTATTGCCATTTTATGATGCTGATCCTTCCAGTCCAAGAGCATGGGAGGTTTTTGCACTTTCTAAGTTCTGTTTTGATTTCCTTTTTTAGGTTTTGAAAGTGTTCATATAGAGGTCCTTCACTTCTTTGGTCAAGTTAATTCCTAGGTATTTTACTTTTGTGGGGCTATTTCAAATGGAGTTGCTTTCCTGATTTCAGCCATGCTTTTCTCATTGTTGGCATACAGAAAAGCCATTGATTTTTGGGGGTTAATTTTATACCCTGATAATTTGCCAAAGTTTTGAATCAGCTTGAGTATTTGGGAGTGGAGTCCTTGAGATTCTTTAAATACAAGATCCTGTCATCTGCAAAGAGGGAGAGTTTTACTTCATCTTTCCCTATTTGGATCCCTTTTATGTTTGCATCTTGTCTTATTGCTGTCGCTAGGCATTCTAATACTAAATGGAAGACAAGTGTGAAAAGTGGACATCCTTGTCTTGTTCCTGAGTTAAGAGGAAATGGCTTTAGTTTTTCACCATTAAGTATAAAGCTGGCTGCAGGTTTATCATATACAACTTTTATTGTACTGAGGAATGTTCCATGGATTCCTAGTTTTTCCAGAGCCTTCATCATAAACTGGTGTTGGATCTTGTCAAATATGTGGTTTTTATCTTTGCTGTTGTTGATGTGATCAATTATATTAATAGATTGGTCTGTATTGATCCAGCTTTGCATCCCTGAAATGAATCCTGTTTGATCGTGGTATCTGATTTTTTGGATGAATAGTTGAAGTTGATTGGCCAAAATTTTGCTGAGAAGTTTTGCATCAATGTTTTCCGGAGCCTGCCGGCAAGGAAAGGGAATCCTGATTTAGGGGGCAATGATGAGAAAAAAAACCAAAAGATGGGGTCGGGAGATCTGCAGCCTAAGAATGCAGCAGCGTTTCTTTTTAACTTTTACTATTATATACTGTTAGAAATCAAGAAGTAGCATAAGAAAAACAAGGAATATTTAGGCTGACTTAGAACAGAGTGGAATAAAAACAAGACAAGTTTAACTGGTTAAATGTAAAACAGACTGCAGGCATAGCAAAACAATCCCGGGTTTTTCAAGGAAGCCAGTTTTGTACAAGCAAGCACAAGGGTCAAGATGAACTTTACTGTTGAGCTTTACCTTCAGCTCCCAACATCTCCCTTGTCTTTGTTTAAAAAAGCAAAAACATCTGTCTTAAGTTAGGTAGATCACTTTGTCTGCCTTACCCATCATCCGGAACTTCTTCAGAGCAAAGCTGAAGACCCAGGCTTAGGTTGGTCAGACCAGCACCCACTCTTACCTGTCTCTGGCTGCAGATCCTCTTGGAGGAAATTTATTCACTTGGAGTTTGATTTT